TTATACCTTAAAAACTCATTTAAGTGCCACGCCTCAACTCGACGCTCGAGTGCAATTGTACTCTTATCTGTTTCTGTGTCAAAACTTTAAACGCGTTTTTCTCAAAACGACATTTTTGAATACTGCGGGCGTGATAACTCAAAAAGTTCTCAACCGATTCCAATGAAATTTTGCACACATCTACTTTACAGTAATAGCTTCTAGTTAAACCTCAAACATTCCAAAAAAAATTTCAAAAATTAACCTTTTTACCAAAAAAAACAGTGAAAAAATGGTGAAAAATCGAACTTTTTTTTTCTGAGGTCTGCCAATTTACGATTTTGTGACTTTTTTAATTTTTTTTGGTTTAACTAGAAGATATATGTTTTATGAATACGTACAAACTAATTTTTTTGAATTCAGATCACCGTACGAAAAGTGAGAACGCCCGCAGATTGATGGCGTTTTCCGAGAGGGTCTTGGCAGATCTATTTTTACGGCAGCCATTTAAAAAAAAAAAATAAAAAAAAAATGTTTTTGTGTATTTTAATATATAATAAATAACCATAAAAAAATTCAAAAAGATTCAGTTATTCCTTCCCAGTTTAAAAAGTCCTCAAAAAATGGTAAAAATTAAGGCGATTACATGTATCGCCCCCCTTAAACTTAATTTTGCACATGAATAAGTCCTATTGTTTAGCCAACAAACAAAAATGCTGACAATCTAGTATGTCTGAAAAACATCAAAAGCTGTTCTTTTGGAAACACATCAAACAAAGTATTAAACAAACCTTTTCTATAAAGCTCTAAAAATAAAAAAAAAGTTAGAAAACTTACACCTTGTCAGGTATCAATGATTGTTTGTGTGAATTAATTCGCCAAGGCTGAATTCAACGTATTAAAAAGAGTTCTGCATACTGCATCGTAAGGTTGTATACTCGTACTTAAGACTTCTTCTCTACACATCCAATTCATACAAAACTTCTAAAGTAGATCCAAAAGAATCGAACAATATCTTCAAATTGAAGAATTTTATCAAATATATACTGTAAAAGAAATGTGTAAAGGGTTCATTTGCAATGCACTACTATGAAAGTAGGCATACATAGAGTGATGAAAGCTAGCTGATACGGATTATTCAACTCTCACGATTTCAGAAATCAACCATGGCATGCGTTTCGGTTTCCAATTTAGTGACATCACATGAATGCAAATCACATATAGAAGACGGACGTATAGACATAATTTGTTGCAAAATTTAAACCATCTGGAAAGGTTTTAATCATGAAAATATGCAATTATTATTAAAGTATTATAAATGTAGATATCCTGTTTCCAGTTGTGAACAGTTCCGACTTTAAATGTTGTTGACAAATGATTTAGTTAAACGTAAGCAAGTTCCTCAAACTCAGGGTCATTATGCTCTTATAATTAATTCCATAAAATCTTCAACTTAAAAATGAGTTCATAGCTTCCATATAGACGCATGCAGGAAGGCCGTTGGAGCAAATACTGGTATTCAACATTTCATGCATAACTATCTCTGAAAAATTCAACTCAAGGTTTCGTGCACAAATGTGCAATATTGTCATATATGAATAAAGTAGAGACAGACTTAGCATTCATACCATTAACTGAGTATTAGAATTTGAAATCAAAAATATACTAGAAATTTCTTCGACCTCCATGAATTCTATAAGCAATCGAAGTATTGACTCTGCATTGTTTCTGTAAATTTAATTACTATGTTGTCCCTTATGTGGTAAAGTCTTTGATGTCTTATGAATAATGTACAGTTGTAATCTGAAATAGACTAAATATTTCGCTCGGCACAAATGTCATGTGAAATTATTGCTTTTAAAATATATGAGATATGCACTTGGGTTCCAGTTTACATTAATATTGTTGTATTTTCAAGCTCCAAAGATCATCAATCTGATATCACGTGCAAGGAACAAGACTACACTCATACGGCCTACAATGTCTAAAATTGGAATTTCAAATTCTGCAATTGCGAAACATGATTGCAGTATAATATATTCACATATATAATTATTAATATATAAATTTATCATACCGGGACCTAGCAATGACTGAATTTTTATGACTAAGGCATTTAGCAGATTACTTATCTGGAAGACATTGGAAAATCATCATTCAGCAATATGTGTTTTAAATATAGCAGTAACAGATAACTATACTGAAAATTTTGTTTAACTTTTACTTCTTTAATTATAGTTTTCTCTCTCTCTCCTGGTATGACTTTAGAGTCAGATCGCTTGAAGTCAATCTGCAATATACTAAAAACACATTGCACGAATACCCAACAAGGGTAAAATACAAAAACGTCTTCCTAAATATTCAAATTATGATTAGCTGATCTTACATTGACCGTCTATTGAATTGAAATTATTATTCCATACAGCATAACAACATATATTAGTCAGCAAACTCATGACTTACAGATGTTCAAAATAAATTGGATTTGGAGAAACATAAAGAGCTCTAATTTTGCTTCAGTTGGAGATTTGTAAGTTAGTAGCATCCGCAAACAAATTCTGAAATATACTAAAAACAAATTGTCCCGAACACAAATCTATATAATTCGGATATTCGATGAAAGAATTAGAATTTCTTACATTAATACCAAGTTCGAAGGCTTATTTTCAAAATCGTAAAATAATTCATTCTCATTATTTTCAATGCAATTGCAAAACTCACCTCACAATTTTTGAGCACAAAAAAGAAAAGATGTGTAAACACACTGGAAACATTTTTCTTGCTTCCAACCTTCCAATTATTAAATATCTAATGAGATTTTTAAAATTTAGTGAACCATTTTGAACATTTTTAAAACAGGTTCCACGTAAACAGTAAATTATGTAACCTTGCTGCCTTGATAAATGTATTATTGCAGTTAAAAGAATTCGACCTGTAAATGTACTAGGATGATGAAAGTTTAACCCCACCCCTTAATAATATCCCTCTAGATAACTACTAAAACAAGAACTTGTATAAGGTTAAATTTTAAATAATTTAACCCTTTTATGTGAACCTGAACTTTTAAATTTAATTAGTAAACATACACAAACTGTAGTTCATGCAAATTTACATTGGAGGTATTCTTACAAAGATACCTTACCTTGTTATATAACTCCAATAGTGAATTGTGCTGAGAAAACATGAATAAGAAATCTTGCAAAGATTGATTCTTCATATAAGATACATAGTTTTCAATGGATTTCTAAATGAGTTTCATATTGTCAGTATCCTAATAGACCCTTTTTATACACTCAATTTTAATGGGATAAGATAGTTAATGAATACATTTAAAATACCTCAATACTATTTGCATCATATCGGTCAGCTCTAAGGACAATTTTGTAAGCATTGTACAGCGAATTAGAAATGACACGAATACATTGAAATGGGAAAGATCGTCACATCAATTCAGCAAATCTACTAGTATCTGCAATAGTCTAAGTATGTTGCACAACAAAAATAGAGCATAAATTTCTTACTCTAGAAGTATTATTGCTTGCAATTCCCACATTTGTTCATAAGGCCGCAAAAGTATCCATTCAAACATCACTATTTAATGCAATTGTTCTCAAAGATTTGGAAACACCAGCATTGTATGCAATACGGCACATCATTGGAACATTATAGATAGCGCAGCTCTTTGAGGTACACGTTTAAAAATTTTATATAAAAATACCTGAAATGTACTAAACACACTTTGCCGGTACCATATCATATTGCCTAAATAGGCAATATATTTTTTTTAAATTTTGGTCACAATACCTCATCTACTGCATTTTACTACTTAATATAAGCTGAGGAGCACCCAGGAAACTGTTTGCAGAAGTACATAAAATATTCTCATATTCCATGGTACATGATGATAGGATGAAGTGACTACGATTGCTATTTCCCATTACAGCTATATAATAAAACATTATCGCAAAATCTATCCTGCAAAGTATTGAATTGAAAATTAAAAGAATACCCACCCCCTTACAAAATCTTTTCCCAAGAATTATGTAATTGATAAATAAAGATAGCGCCATTTGTACTTACAGAATCAAAGCAAACATAACTGATATATTGCTTATTACGTAATATTGCATATCGGTCTTGAACATTATTACCTGAATATTGAAAAACTTGACTAAGTAAGTAATTAATTATCAATCAAATGATGTAGTAAGTAACTTGTGGTACTATTGTTGAATCGTGCTTGAAAAGCTTGAGATCGAACTTGTGTAATTAGATCTACAGACTTCTTTCTAGTCTATTTACCTCCTGCATGTCAGAAATTTATATATTTAAAAGTTTCAATAAGGCTTATAGGTGGTAACTGAAATGCTAAAATAGAATACCATTTCAATTACTACATACTTTACCGAACCATATTCCTGCTGTCTGCTGATAAGTCGAAAACCAAAACTAGTCGCAAAGTGAAGTCAAATTGCTTCTCATTGGAGGTTGGTGTCCAAAAGTTTATTTGCAGTAAACTCTGGGGATACACGATTAATCCTACTACCTTATGTCTAACATGCCTATGGTAAATAAACAGTTTCCTTTCATATGTAAAAACGCTTGCAAATGGTACCGTAATTATGTGATTCCGCTCGATTGTTTAAAATGCAGTGGCAGGTTTATATTAGTGATGGTTACTGGATCAAGTCGAAACACGCACGGTCTTAGGTATTCCTTTTTATTCATTGCAGACAAGTGGTGACCACCAAGCATTGGCAGAATCGTACATGTAAAATAAAACATACGAGGGCAGATTACAGAAGTTTAAAAAAATATGAATTGAAAAACAAAAATACAATTTCCATCATTTATTATTCTTTGTTTGATATGTACATATAAAAAATTAAATATCACTTTATTTACACATATGTTAAGATATAAAAATCGATACACTACAAACCAATCATTGCTGTTCGACTGCCAGTCCTGTTCGAGAACAAGCCCAGTGGTCGCTCAAGATGCCTCAAACTCTCAACAGTGGTACTGTAAATGAAATTCCTTATTCAACAAATATCACAGAAAAAAATCTAAATCTAATAATTGCCTGCCAGGGTTGGCATTTTTGTACATAAATAAAATTAACTTATAAATATAACGTAAAAAGTTCTAAAAATTGAACTTTTGATTATCGAACAACTGGCGTTTTCACTTGTTTCAAATCGCTCATAAAATTAGCAAGGCCATTTAGATCAGATTGCCAAAGTTCGTCGATTTTCTTTCGTTCCTGTGAATCTTCATGCGCTGTGCGTTCATTAAGAGCACGGCGTAATTGTGCCCACTTGATAGCGCGTTCCCTTTGTTTCTGCCTCAAGGCATCTTCTGCCCTCGTAAGAGCAGTCGTTAATACAGCTACTACTCGTAAATCTCTTCCTTTTTGTCTTTTAAAAGACATTTTCTTGCAACGAATATCTTGAATCCAATTTGTCAAATTTACAGTTTTAGTGTAATTAAAAAATTTTGCAGCGCATCTGCCTTTACGTGATATTTGTACCATTTTGAAATAGAGAACAAAAATTCCCTACAGACAGTGATAGGTATTATAATAATGATAACACACCTGTATCACGTTTGTTGAACGCTGGAGCTAATCTGGATTTGCTTTCAAACATACACTAATAATTCAAACATTCAAGTATTAGAACTTTCAAATTTTTAAAACAAAAACGACGCGATGCAGAACCACTTTGATACAGCTTGAAACAACTTGTGTGAAAGGCGCGGCTCAGTACCGACTCTTTTATACTCGGTCAAACTACATGTAATGTAACAATGCGCATGGCGACGAAAAGTAGTTCCAGTATTTTTATTCACACTTCGGAAAAATTAATATTTTATTGTTAGATTATAGTATAATTTTAAATTTTAAATCTATATCTATCACTTTTTTAATAATAAATTGCATTTTTTATCTTTAATTTTAGAAAAAAGGTGTCATTATCGGGCGGATGAAGATTCTCGCAAAGCAGTTATTGATTTCGTCACACAATACAGTCAGGGTACAGTCCGTGCCAAATTATTCTAGTGCGCAATTATATATACGTCATAGGAAATTTTATACTTGTTTTTCTATGTTGCACCTTCGAATATTTACTAGTAATTTCAACATTTTGTTCTATGTGCACATCTTAATGCATACTAAGTAATTTAAAAACATTTATCGATTGTTTATTATACAAATAAAAAACGAATTTATTGAACATAATTCTTTATTTAATATATTAACAATAATAAAAACTTTTAATAAATATGGGTCGATCTTCCTGCTGCTTGTTGCATAATTAATTTCTGGAAAAGAAAATAATTTAAATATATACAATCTCCACTTTCTAAAAAACTATATGAATTTATCTGCTTTTATCTTTATATTATAATATACTCTTAACTAAATGCTTGTTTAATATATATAAAATATTAAAATCCATATAATATCAAAATATATGATACAAAATATCTTAAGCAGAACGACATATTTCAGAGACATTGAAACGCTTCTAGAAAATGTACACATTGTAAAAATAATAGCTTTGGTAATAATGAAATAAGATGATTATTATTTGATTAAATTTGCCCAGTTATTTTTTATTAATGATGTTATCTTCGCCTTTTCAATATTATGGTTTGACACACTTTTCTGAATGAAGCTACATTTAACATAAAATATCAGTTATTCATTTTTTTTAAATTAAAATTATCATGTTATTAGTAAATCACGGTTCTTTTGTGTTATAGATATTTTATTCAAAAAGAAACCCAAATGTTTAATTATAAAAACCACTTTGGCATACAAGAACCAGGTTGAGTAGCGTCATATGGAAATTAAACAAATCAAATAATCTAAATAGCTTTGTCCAATTGTTAAAATCTTTCCTACTAATAATCATAATTGCGCTATCAGCGTATCATTAATGAGTATATATTAAAATTCTTATTTGAATTTGTAATATTTTAAAATAATATTATAAAACCTTGAGAGGTGTGAGAGCTGACGTCAATTGAAGGCCTATAGATCTTGCCAAAACAACAGATGTAGCGTCTGTTTCGTACAGACGATGTAATACTTCGATGGCAGCCATTATAGGTACTGCGTACCTCTGCCTCAATGTTTGATATTTCTGTAGAGTCGACTTGTCATCTATAAATAGTTTAAAATGAATACATACTATCATTACCAGTTTTCTAAGCATGCTTTTTGTCGAGTTTCATTGTTAGTATTAATTTCTTATGACCATAATTTATTTTTTGATTACTAAAAACAACTAACGATTGATATCAATTTTTTTCAAATAAAACTAATAGAGTAGATTAACATTGGAAATTGATACTTTGCTAATACCATTAGTTATAATCTTAATAATGACTAATAAAAACATTTTTTATATCAACATTTATTTTGCTGATAATACAAATAATGTCGAAATTTGTCTAGGCAAGTTTTTGTTACAATCAGTTAAATAATCTCACATAAATAAATATTAGCGTGAGAATGTTGGAATTTCTGAGCAATGACCCTTTCTGCAGAACACAAAGAAACTCAGGTATACATCTGCGTTTCAAAACATCGAGGGCTATCGTCTCGTGAAGAAACTTGTTTAAATGTTTGTTCACGACAGTTGTAGTCAACCATTTTAAAATTTCAAGTTTACAATTTTATATTTACTATTTATACACGAGTCATCAAAATTTAACCCTCCGTCGGTCGGATATTTTTACACCTTCGAACGGTCGGAAAGGTCTGGCTGGACCACCATTCATTTTACACGCATTTATATGGAATAAATGAGTTTTTGGTGTCTTATATATTAACGATTATTAGTAGTAAATATTTATAGTTTGATTTTTACCGTCTTTTGCATGTGTTGAGCTAGCTTATAATAAAAATATTACATATTATATTATATAAAAAAAAAATCAAAAAATATAAAAAAATTGTTGCTTTTTTTTGTTAATTTTTCTGTTTTATATCAATGAAAAAGAATATTACTTTGTAATGAGTGTGAAATTCAAATGAAAAATAATGTGTGCATTACTCATCCGATTTTCAGTGTTTGCGATTACCAATAAGTTTGGTAGGTTTTCAAGGAACTCTCGTCATGAAAATACTAACATTCATGTTACAACACATAGCAAAGAATATATACAACCATAGATAAACAAGAATACAACGCAGATTGAATAGAAAATACCATGAAAAAAGACAAAATACTGGTTTACATATATCAAAAAACGTATATTTCATACAAAAAGTATGGGTGGTCTGGACAGACCTTTCCGACCGTTCTAAGTATAAAAAAGTTAATATCCTTATAATTATCCTTCTGTATATTTTTTCGTCCTGATTTTTTCAATGATCGACAGCTAATAAAAATTTAGGAAATGTCAAGAAATTTCAAGTCGATAGGATTACTAGTAGTATTTTTTTTTTAATTGAAGTCGAAAAAAGTCTGGCCAGACCACGCCGACCGACGGAGGGTTAAACGATAAAGAAAATTGAAAAATTATAATTGTATAAATTAATTATTAGGTTCTGAACCGAAGCTGATTTCGTGAGATGAGTTAAATCCAAGGACAATTTTATTTAAATATATTTTCAACTAAAATAGAATACGTTTATTGCATGATGGAAATGTAAGAGTAAATAAATAACCTATTACCTTAATAATAAAAAATGTTTAACTAGGGTAAAAAGTATAAGATATTTTATGTATTCAATACTGTAAAACTTGAATCCTCACTGTAAAGATTAAATATATGAAAGCATATATTTTTTATTTCTGTGAATTGTATAGCCCGCAATCGTTTAATATTTTTTTTGCTAAGAGGTATACTTTTGACATACTCTACACTGTCAAATATGTCATATGCTTTCATATATTTAATCTTTACAGTGAGGATTCAAGTTTTACAGTATTGAATACATAAAATATCTTATACTTTTTACCCTAGTTAAACATTTTTTATTATTAAGGTAATAGGTTATTTATTTACTCTTACATTTCCATCATGTCTACACAAAATGCACTAACCGATTTCCGCTCCTCTGTAGACAGCGTCACCCAGTAAAGTCGATAATGTAGCTGCGTCTCCGAAGCCTAAATTCACACCTTGCCCTGCTAACGGATGTACACGATGTGCAGCATCTCTGATTGTATAAAGAAGTAATATATGTATATAAGCAAGGCCTTGAATGCAATGCATGCGAAAAATGAGGGCGCACGCCTTAGGGGGCGCCAACACGATTCGGAATTAAATTTATAATATAGTTTTTTCAATATCATTAAAGAAATATATCATTTCTTTGCATCTTTCACTAATCTCTGAACTAATATTTTAATTTCCCTAAAAATTTAATTTTAAAACAACAGTCTGATACGCGATGGGAAGTAAAGATGAATACATACAATTTACGATATCAATTAGAAGAAGTTTACGATGCAATTTGGGATATTTTAAATGATGAAAAATTAAATTTAAAAAATCTAACATAAAGTTCGAGTGTTATATTTAATAATTAAAGATTTTGTTTTTGCTCATTTGGCATAATTTGCTTAATAGAATAAATGTGATAAAATCCCCGAAATAAATAAGTAAAATGTTTCAAATCCCAAATATCAATATTACACATGCATTAGAAACAATTAAAAATTTAAAAATATTCTTGTAAACGATAATGAACTTATTGAAATTTTTGGATGTTCTAAAAAAATAGGATTGGAAATAAATAAAATTGTTAGGCAGTGCGACAACGACAGAAGACAATATTTTGATTATGAGCACCCGCGAATCGCTTTCATCTTCTAAATAAATGTATTTTATGCGCCTTTTTGTGCAATAAATCCAGAGTTATTAAAAAGTATTTAAAAAATTGAAGTAAATATTTATATAATTACTATTAATTAAATTATATACGAGGTGTGTTCAAAAAGTACCCGGAATTACTAATAATTAAATTTCGCGGGTCTGGAGTGTCTGATTGTCAAAATTTTTTTTTTATTGTGTTGGTATACATGCCCCTAAAGTATGATGAAATTTTCAGCTATATTCACTGTTTACTTTGTCTGTGGTAGTCGCTAAGGTTCGACGTGTTTTTCTGAGCTCGGCGATTTTTACAATGGAAGAATTGAAAAGTCAAATAATTTGTATTAAATTTTGCGTAAAAAATGAAATAAAGTGTTGCAAAGTGCAAAAATTCACCAGATATGGCTCCGTGTGACTTTTTCCTATTCCCAAAGTTGAAGAGACCCATGAAAGGACGGCGGTTTTCCTCGATTGAAGAAAATCGCTGAGAGTGCTCAAGGACATATCAAAAAGTGAATATCAAGGGTGCTTCGAAAATTGGAAAAAACGCTGGCATAAGTGTATTATATCTGGGGGGGACTACTTTGAAGGGGACCACATTAATGTAGACGAATAAATAAATATTTTTTTGAAAAAACGAAAATTCCGGGTACTTTTTGAACAGACCTCGTATACATTTTGTTACTGATAATGCATTGAAATACAGAACATTCAAATGGTTTAGAAACTTTATTTATAAGTAATTTCGAATAAATTGAAAAAAAAAATCAATAGAATAGATTAGATTGATTATTGATTTTTCTTAAAAGATAATATTGTAAAAGCATATTATATGTGTCATGACTATTAAAATTTTAATACTATTACAAGAGTATTTGAATTTATATACTCACCCTATAAGTGCGACCCTATCTTGAACATAAGAACCAGAATGGCCGAATCCAAGAGGAAATGCTGCCCTGCTGCCCTCCGCCACAGCCTTAATCCTGGGAGGTGAAATAGTAGTAGACCCGCAATCCATTCCAACTAACCGCAAAGCAGAACGCAAAGCACCGCTAGCCTCGCGTACCAAAACACTCTGGGGGTAGCGCTGGTCCTATTGTTTTTTTTATAAAACAAAAATTTTGAGTAATTATTTTAAGGCTTATATACCGGTTTGAAGAGATTTTGTATTTTCTCTAGTTTGGCAGCTTTTTGAAAGCTTTTTTCAATTAAAACATATTGTACATGCAGTAGCATTAGCAACATACCTCCTAAAAATAAAAATTGTTTCATTAAGATATAGCCAAGTTCATTTGACATTATTGAAATTACTCTAATATTTATCAAATTAAAAGTAACTGTTCCAGTTTTTGCCGAGGCCTTTTTTACAATTAGCTGATGAAAGTAACATTTCTTCCAAGTCACTTTCAAACCTTCATTTACAATTCAAGCGATTACTAAATTACTGAATTGGTTCAATCCCGAATTTATTCTCAAAAACATCAAACGCGATGAAGGCAGCCTATGTCAAAATTCTCGTCGATGTTATTTAACAACAATTAGGCAAAGTTGAAATAAGATCAAATTTACACTTATCATTAGTCCATTTGACGGTATTTACAAAAATATCGGTCTGAATCCCATTGGAATCCTTTATGTACATGAATGTACTTATTAGATCTTTATGGCTATTTCTTTTCTATTATGGCTATGGCTTTTCATCCGTCGATAGCTTTGTTAAATGTACTCATTATTACTATTATGTCATATTTATAGATACATGATAAATATCTCTGCAAAAATCTTCTTACCAAAGCATTATTCAGCTCAAATACAAATTCTTCGCTTGTCATTTTTAAAAGTTGCTTTGATCGATCTACGGGCACGGACCATACCAGTGAGCTAATATTTGAACCAAGTGGCAGTAGAGCAACTGGTCCACCAGGGATAAATCGTTGCCAAGCCGTTTCATTTGGGGCGGCGGCCTGGAAAAATTATAATATCTTTTAATTGTATATTCATATAAATATTAAAAAAATATAATGTAGATTAATTATAGATTAAGAAAAGTTTGAAAAATATTATAAAATGTAGATTCTGATAAAACATGATCTAAATCAAATTTGTTAATTTTCAATGTACCTCATCTAATTCCAAGGTAGCAACAACTCCCATTTGACCGTACATCCAGGACATATAGGGTGTTCCCATTTCTCTTCTAACTAAGGAGTTAGCACCTTCAGCGCCAATCTACAATATTTAAAAAGAAACATACGTATTATTAAATACAGTAAATTTAAATTAGTCCGTCGTTTAATAAAAAAAAATATTATTATTAAAACAATAATTCGTAAATGCTTACCTAATATGTACAAAAACACCATGCATTAGTTAACAATATAAGCTACTACAATTGGTTGAATTCTGACAATTAACAATTAAAACATTAAACCAATTGAATTAAAATATAAAATAAAAGCTAATTACTAATAAATATTATAACTTTGTAAAATAATTCAAAATAAGGAATGATTAAGTTACTTAAGCACAACCATAAAATAGATTTCTTCAATTCGATAATTCTACATTTTGAAACAAATACTTTTAGAAGATACTTTGCAGAAGATTGCCCACGGTTTGTGTGCATAACTGCATTAAACCAAATTCTTGCAAAAAACATTTAATTTCATTCAGTTTTGTACTCAAGCACATAGTTTTTAACTTTAATTTGTATTTCTCAAACTATTATATGGTTTAATAAAACGCCGAAATTGATTATTTCCCTGATATTTTTGTGCCGGGAGTAATGCAACAAAGTGTACGCGTAGATTGAAGAAACAAGTTCAAGAATAATGAGTCTCCCACAAATTGATTTAATTCGTTAAGAGTTCCAATATAATGCAGTATTCGCGCGAACCGCAAAGCTTTAAGTTGTGTTATTTAAGAATAATTACAATACGAATAAATTATATTTGTAATGCAATATCAATCGAATTTTAAATTATTTGCATATACAATGGTGCTTATTAATACGGAAGTGATTTTTTTCTACATATAAAAACTATGTGAAAATCTACGTTAATCAATCTTCTTTAAATTAGTTACAAATATGTAATGTGGTAATAATTCAATTTGTGTTTGTCACAAAGATGTAAAACAAAAATTAAAATCTTTAATAATATGTTCATCATATAGGAAATTCAGTATAATTGCAAAATCAGGTTATATATCAACATTATCTTGATTATTAATTATAAAAAATATTATAACCTAAAAATACTTAGAATATGTTTTGAGGTTTATATTATATTCTTTATTGTAAATTAATTTATATTTTATAAATAAATATACCGAAGTTTCTTAATCAAAAACTACAGATAATGAAGATATAGGTATTGTAATAGAGCTTAATAGAATTTTTACCGGATTTGAAGAATATGTGAAATATTATTAAAATCAGTTATTTCTAATTTAAATAGAATAACAGACAGATAATTTTTTTTACAGTTTGGTTATAAAGTTAAAAACGTCATGAAATAATGAATAAACAGTAAATTAAGTGCGATGATATTAAAAAGTGAGGAATTAAAGGTACTAAATCATTAAATTGTTAAAGAAGGCAAATTCATGTCACAAAATGGGCAGAGAACTTGAACGATTAAGTAAATATATTAAAGAACGATTAGAATTACCCATTACTGTTTATTAACATAAAGAAAAAATATAAATTTGATATACTCAAAAAAATCATATATTTTAATTTTTAAGAGTAAGTCGAATTTTGTTTACAGAACGTTTCTTCAAACACAAACTATACGAAATTGTATACACTACTTCATGTATAATGTAACATGTTTCTTCCGAATTGGTTCAGGGTTCATTATTAATACTAAGATATATAATAGTAAATTTTATCACGTTACAAATTTACAAGGTAACCAAAATCAAGGGTGGCTTTGGATAGAACTAATTTTATAACTTTTGTAAATCGATGATAACTACTTGCTGTTGTAATGCACATTGAAAAATAATATTGCATTACAAAATCTGAAATAAAAACAATTTCGTGTTTGAAAAAAATTATTGTGATCTTTATCTCACAATTATTAGTTATACTTCAAAAAATTTAATCGAATGACAAAAAGATATGCAGATGTGCAGACATCTTTCTACTGTCCATAATTTTAAAGATTTAAACTGACTTATACATTATAGTTATGAAATGAAGAAATATTAATTGAAACAGGAATTTTAACTTTCATCTATGAATAACATATACTAAATTATCTCCGAATTGCGCTTCCAGTAAACAAACTATGGTTTATACAGGAACATAGCAGAAATAGCTTTTCGTGCCTTCCAATGATTATGCGAAGTAAAAATACTCGAACACAAATCTAGTGTGTATCATATTCTGAAAACAGGGAACCATATTATTTTACGCCAGATTAAATAAATCAGTCTAAAATACTTCTTTCTACGTCATATTATCCTGCAAGAAAATGTGAAACTTTTTATACATATAAGTAACAGAAAATAATTCAGCATGCTCAGCTCATAACGCAAATGAGCTATTCCACTTGTATTTTATATGATGAATATTTTGTTTGATTTAACATGAATATTTCTAGAAATTGATTTGATGATAAGCGATAGCAATAGAAATTCACTAGGACTAATACGAATGCACAACAAATCTGTATTGGAAGAGAGAATTTAAGTTAAAATGTGAATTTTTATAAATATTACTTAGCATTGTATTAATGATTAACAACTACTAAATTTACGAATATAATATTAAGTCCAAAATAATCAAAATTAAATTAAAGAAACAATTCAATTAATCTACAAACTGTTTAATGAAATATATCAGCGTTAACCACAAATATATTTAATTTGTAATTTAGGTAAACGTTAGTAAGTAACTAATTTTTGGTTAATTTAGTTTCCGAATGAGTAAAAAGCGCCTTGTATACTTCAGTCTTTAAAAATGACGGGACGTGCTGATAGAGTATATCCTGATGTAGAGAACGAAGTAAGTGGTTCGATGTGTTTTTTTCCATTATAAGCGATATTATCTAAATTTATTTCATATTTATTATAAATATAAAAATGATCATTATTATTTTATTAATGAAAATAGAAAAATCATTTATACAAATAAATATATAATTATATATATATAAATTTTATTTTTTATTTATTTATTAAACGCCCATGGCAATAATTATGTAACTATATTCGTATTTTTGAAGAAATATTTGTTTATATGCAGGTTATAAATAGAATTTACAATATTATTTTGTGTAATAAATCAGATATAAAATAGACAGTTACGCCAAAACAAACAAAATTTAACATATATATATATATATATATATATATATATATATATATATATTAACCACACTAGTATATCAATATATTCATCAAAATTTATCACTAGATAGTACAATTCAGAGCGTAATTGTAAGAGAATATTGAAATCGTCTCTACACCAATTAGGTTTGAACAATTCTATGTGAAATTTAAATTCAGAAATAGAATCAACTATGAATTCAAACAACAATTATGAAAATCTATCAAATCATTTTATAAAAACATGATATTCAACTCATAGAAATAATAACACTGCACACCAATATTTTTCTCTATTTTCTATAATAAAATAATATTTATATATATTTGTGTAGAAAAAAAGATTCTCTTACTATATGTATATGATTTCTTAATCTAAGAATTTGGAAAAACCGCGAATTCTTTACAGTGCGGACGCGACATTATTTATTATTCTATTCCGAAGGGATTCAGATGGATAGAATCAGTGGACTCGATACGAATGGACGATTCAGAAAATTTAGATGACAATTTAGACTCTGATAACGAGGAAGATGAACCTGACAGCATTTCGGACGAAGATTCTGGTGGAGTCCATCAGTTCCCATCGGAAAGACCGAGACAAGAAATTTGGCCCACCGAAGAAATACGAGAAACATTACAGGTAAATACTAATTAGTTGCATGAGTCGCATAGTGAAACAAATATGCACATTACAATATAGTAGAAATAGAATATATTTCGAAATAAAGATGTTTAACAGTCTCATCTAATATATATGATACGCATTGCGCGTATATTGAAAGGTTCGAATCATCAAAACATAATAGGAAAGCTTCTGCATTAACCACCTCTGATTAGAGTTGGAAATTATGTCAATACACAAACTTTAAATTGATATAATAATTATGCCGTATATATTTACAGCTAGTCTCATTTATTGACCCATAAGCAAATCACAGTGGAATCTCAATGATAATTCATCATATGAAGAGAACATATATCGTGGAAAAAAATAAAACTGTCTTTTCACATCATATTTCTACGGACGATAATAATAGCGACACAAAGATCATGTGTGCAACGTGTGAATTTAGTTTCAATATCTACTTACAAATTTACTACATTGTGTAAGCTACCATAACGAACGAATAAATATCAGAATCCTAACAAGCACGTCCTAATTTTAGTTCTGACGTTTCTTTGTTTATAGTTTCAGCGTAGAAAGACAACCGCATTCGCATATATTAATTTTGAATACATATCTTAAATTGATTTTTGTAAAAACTTTCATGCAACAATAATTTTCTGCAAAAACAATATCATTCATTATTGATCGTCAATATAGTTACTAATCAAATTTTTTTTTTCTAACGATTTTTATTTGGCTTTGTCTCATGTTTTACTCATTCATGGAAATTAAATAAATAATGAGTTTATTTTAATTGTAGAATCTTCCGTATTACGAAGAAATTTCTATGCTTCTACAAGCTGGTAAAACAGATCTAATATCGAGACATCAGGCGGCCTGGACCACAGGACTGTTGTTGGCTGCCTGGACAGGAAATCACGCTCTGGTCAAACAATTATTAGAAGATGGTGCAAATGTACATACAACTGACCCGGAAGGACGGTAACTTTAACTTTGATACAATTTTATATAACACTAGATGACCCGACAGACGTTGTCCTGTACCCATGTCTACAATTTTTTAATATAATATACTAATATTTACCGTTTACCTAAAAATAATAATTATTGTTTTTTAAATTACTCTTCACGCCAAAATGCGCATATACATTTATAATATGAGCGATTTTAAATGAAGAACTGCTTTAAATAAAATGATGAGTCTCAATTCCCACACCATATTGGAAATTGAAGTGTTTTAAATGATATAACATAACCATAACCATAACATAACACTTGTACTTCATGTTGGATTAAATTAATTTAATTTTTTATTATTTAAGATACCCAAAATTGCATCTTAAACTTCTCCTAAACGATATCTTTATCTTTACTTTCCCATTTGTTTTTAGAAAGTGAAATTTTTACGAATTTTAAAAATATTGTAGAAAGATTAGTAAAAGATGCAAAGAAATTATGTATTGAAAAAAAATTATATTGCAAATTTCATATCCAAATCTTGTGTCGGCGCCCCCTAAGGCGTGCGCTCGTATTTTTCGCATGCATCGCATTAAAGGTAGGAGCGGCCCTGATTAATACTAAATTTTATATTTTAAGTGAGTTAATTTGTCATATTGGTTCATATGTGTATAATTCCATACATATACTGTATTTTATATTATTTTAATTTTTGGCACATCTCAGCTGCTTTTCGGCAATAATAATGTAATCATTTTATTTTTGTTATTCATAATCATAAATTTATTATACATATTCTAATATTGTCTAGGTTCATAAGTAAATTGAAATTTTTTTCAGATGATAGTTTTCATTATATTCACGTACATCCTAGAAAATTTCCTTATCAAACTTCAGAAAGATTTATCAAAATCCGAATAATCTTTTAGAAAGAGTATACAGTGAGTGGTTGTAATTTAATATGAATTTTAATAGCAATAAAGCTCAAATTGATTCTACGTTTTAGTTAGAAAACGTTTGTATGAGAAAAAGAAAAGGGCTGTTTTTAGGGTTTTCCCGGCAATTGTTCGATTTTTTCTCGCCGTACGAACCATCCTTGGACATCAACGAACATTTTTAAGAAAGAAATGGCCAAATTGGTCCGGGCGTTGTTGAGTTATGCGCTTACCAACACATTTTGCGATCCATTTTTATATATAAGATTACGAATAGTTAAATTTTCCTAAAAACATATGATATTTTGGTTAACAATAAAATCAGTTCTTTTACCACTTACATTACTATTACAGAACACCATTGCACCTGGCGTGTTGCATCGGTGACGAGCGCAGCGCCGAGTACCTTTTGGATCGCGGTGCGCGCCTTGAGCAATGGGACAAGGGTCGTCGTGCAACAGCACTTCACTGCGCCGCATCCGCCGCCTCAAGACCGTGCGTCATGTTGCTTTTGAACCGCGGAGCGGATGTGAATGCTGGTTTGCAGCAAGCACGGAGTCCCTTACATTACGCTGTACTGAGCGGAGCAGTGCCTTGTGTAAGAGAGCTTTTACGCCAGGGAGCTTGCCCGGATACGCCTCAAGTAGAGTATAATCGACGAATTGCGAACTACAGTAGAATCCGATTAGTATGATGCCGGATATATTGACAACCGCTTAATATGACGTAATCCCACTAGGAATTTGGTTTCCATATAAAATTCCTTAAAAAAACAGCTGTCTAGTCGGATATATTGACATCGCTTACATTGACATGTCGCTTATAATGACCCATTTTTGCAAAAAAATATGTCCAATTATAATGACCGGCATGATTTTACATGATGTGGCCAAGTCTAAGAAAGCAATTGCTATGTCTTTTGTGCACAATACCACCAGGGACTGTTTTAAAATTATGTAAAGAAATCAATCAAAAATTACTGATTACTTACATTAAAAAAACACATTTGTATGTTTATGGGTAGGGTAGACTAATTATTAATGGCCCACCACGGATATCTCATAAACAAATAAAATTAGATTTTTTTTAACAATTATTTGATAGTAGAAGGCGAAAAATGTATAAATTCATAACCAGCCATCACCTTTATTCTTATGACTTTGCTATCAGAAAATAAGCAGCACATAACTGCTATAAAAAGGACCAGCTGAACCTTTACTTTGGCAAAGGTGTAAGCAATAAAATAGTAAAGTTTAAAAAAAAAACAATTTTACAAGAGATTAATTTAATAAATTGTTATTCCGGTTCTTCTGATGAATATTTCTGACCAATAGCAGATCAATGTAATATACTGTGTTGTCTTTGTAACAAATGTACCCACAGAATTAATATTTTGCATTGGTTCAATAATGTAGCGTAAAATGCCTTTAAAATTTAATAGAAGAAATTGCATCTGTACGCCCTCTGGTTGTTCCACTTTACCCCGTATGTGAGGTAAAATGGGTCAGAAACTAAAGGTTTAAAAAATAGTAAAAAATATAATATTTATATAATTAGTTTTTCTGAACATGTAAGTTTTTCTGAACATAGTTCGATAGATGCTTCTTTGATGTACTATGTTATGTGTTGTTCATTGGGTTTAGACAGTATAATTACCGTAAGCCAAATTGGACCGTTGTGCCCCGCCCTACCCTATGTCAATTTTATTTTATATTAAATTTTAATGTGCCATTTTTATTTTTAATTAAAACGCTTGTATAGGCTTTTCTTTTAAATTACTGAAAAATGTAACATATTTGCATATTAAAAAGTTTTTCTTCAGTACGCTTTTAATGACGACCGGTTAGTATGACGAGATTTCGGCGTCCCTTCGATGTCATACTAAGCGGATTCTACTGTATATTCATTTCTATAATCTGCAAGCAAACTATGCATTCTGAAATATCACAGGTATTCACCGAAACACCACTACATGTAGCGGCGGCCCTGGGTTCAGAAGACTGCATTCGGTTATTACTTGAACATGGCGCAGATTTTCGATCCCATTGGGGTCCCCGAAAAATGACTGCATTACATCTAGCTTCAGAAGATGGAAATGCAATTTGTGCGCGACTTCTCACACAAGCTGGCGCTTCTGTCGATGCCAGGAATCATAGAAAACAAACTTCTTTACATTTAGGTAATGCAACATTTTAATTCGTATTAACTTCCCGAAGGAGAAGTTTATGTTTTCATCAAACAATCCGATTCGCTAATTTTATGTTTTCTCGACGTTTCAAGCCATTCTGAATTGAATGAGACCAAATTTGGCAAAAGTATGTGTGTGTGTGTATGTGAACAGATTTTTTTTTGCCGTAAATCGACGTTTTCTCGAAAACTGCTGGGCCGATTTCAAAAATTTAAAAGCCATTCGATGTATCTCGACGAGGACTATCGTGGGACGATCAGCCGAGACGTTTCATTATAAATAGCAGAAAAGTGAAAAAATTTTCGTCCACGTTTTAGCTCGCAATTCTGAACCGATTATGAAAATTCAAAAACCGTTCGAAAGATATTGATTGGGAATCGTGCTGATTAGTTTTTGGTAAAGATCGGCCGGGCCGTTTTCTTGTAATAAAGCGTTAAAATTTTTTTTCCCGACGATTTTTATTATTATTTTTTCACGGTAGATACTATAGTCTTCTAGATCATACTAAAATATTACGGCCTTACGACAATTGGTTTAACTTTGAAAATTCGTCAAAGTTTGCAAAAATCGGTATCGTTTTTTTGGCATTTGTCAAAATTAGACCTTCCATCGACGTTTTCTCAAAAACGCCTGAACCGATTTCAGAAATTTAAAAGCCATTTGATTATTTCGATGAGGACTATCGTTTGTCAGTTTTGTGCGACGATCTGCCAAGCCTTTTCTTTGTAATTTGAAAAAAAAAAGTTATACTTTTCGTCTACATTTAAGCTCACCCTACCGAACCGATTTAAAAAAATCAAAAACTGTTCGAAAGATACTAGTTGGGAATGGTACTGATTAGTTTTAGGTGAAAATCTACCGAGCCGTTTTCTTGTAATTAACTGTTGAAAAAATAATTTAAGCCGATTTTTATGGAATTTTTTTTAGCGATATATATCATGGTCTTATAGAACCGCCTGTAATAGAAAATGAGTAGTTTTTTTGACGTTAGCTAAAATTAAAATTAGACGATTTACTTGGTATAACAATATAGTACTTGGTCTTAATAAACATACTAAACCATTAAAATCCTACTGAAACTGGTTCAAATATATATATTTAAAATTTTAATTTTAAAATTTTAATTTAAATATTATTATAATAATTGTTGATTTTTGAAAAGTTGCTTTTTGAAAATACTCCGTGTTTGTTCGTTTTCAATTATGTGTAATAAATCCACTCATAAATTAATTTATTTTTTATTGATTAAGTCGATTATTTACACATATCGGAAAGTTCATGTAACTTGCCTCAAATACCAATACCAACTAGTTTAACATTAAAATACTCTACATATCGGAAACTACTTCCAAACAAGATTGAAAATCGTATTTAACGTATAATTTTTCGGCTTTAAAATAGTAAGTAGTTAAAAAAGGAAAATTACATAATTTTTTATCATTTACAGCGGCGCTTGCTCAATCACCTGAAACATTGGAAGTTTTATTGGAATGTGGCGGTGATCCGAATGCGACTGACGCTGATGGTCGCACTCCACTGCATGGAGCTATAGTCAAAGAATCCAGGTACACGTTAAAAATAAATGCTCAAAATTTAAATAAATAAATAAAATTACTAACTTATTCCAATAATTCATTGAAAAGTCATTAATATTAGAATAGAAGTTAAATTAAACGAATTATGAAGTATATAATAAAACAAATTTCATTATTCATGTCATGGTAATCGCATTTTACATCATTAATCATTTCTGAAAATCTACTTTACATTAACAGATCGTGCGAATGTGCACGGTTACTTCTCGACAACGGTGCATTAGTAAACCGTGCAGACAATTTTGGTTATACGCCGTTGCACATAGCGGCTCTAAATGAATTCTCATCTTGCGTATACATGCTAATAGGTCAGTAAGTAATAATATTATGTTGTTGAAGATAATTGCTTGATTTTTTTTATTACCTTATCATCACATATAATTACTTTTTCAATAACGAGATAATGAATTTATTATTATAAATGACGGTTTTGAGAAATATAATTCCTCATTGTTCGTATTATACGGCAAAGTTTTTTATATTATTGGTAATTTTCCAGTGAATATAACTTAATAGTGCTTTTAGAAGGCAAAATACTTCGAACAACTTTTGTTATTTTACTTAAGGATATGGTGCAGATGTGACAGCCAGAACAGATGGTGGTGTGACTGCTTTATCGTTTATTTTGCGCCGTACGCCGGATGTTGTGCCACGTTATTTAAGCAAATTCGATCATGCGATAAAATTGAATGACCACGAAATCGGAGACGCCGATTGCGAACTTAAGCTAGACTTCCGCATCCTTGTGCCAAGCACGGATCGAGGCGAAACAGAACTACTGAGAGCTTTCATCGAGGTTTAGTAAAAAAAAAAAAAAAACTATTATCAAATTGAACTTTCATAATATTAAAGCATACTTGTAAAAAAATAGTGGATGCCTTTCAGCAATCATTAATTAATGTTAGTTTTTTATTTTCATAGGTTGGACGCAAAGATGTTCTTAAACATCCATTGTGCGAAACTTTCCTATTTCTCAAGTGGAGAAGAATTAGAAAATTTTTCTTATTGAGTTTATTATTCCACGCAGTATTCGTGATACATTTTAGTTGGTACATCATAGGTGAGTAGAACATTGAGATAATACGTAGGTTAAAATCATTTGACTGTATCAGAGTGTAGCAGCGTATCGTTATTTTGTATCATAAAACACAATTTAAAATCAGTTATTAAATGTATTATTATGGTAGGAATTACGAGAGCGTGAAAATTATGTAGACGCAATGGTAAAAGTTGATAATAATCTTGACTACGTTATTTGAAATTTGTTTGAAGTATAATAAAGATAAAAAAAAATTATTAAGCTGTTTTCCAATAAAGAAAATATCGATTATTTAAAACGCATGACTTTTATTGAATATTACATAATTACTATTAAAGTGAAGTCTTATAAAATTTGTAACAAGATTGTACCACTTCCGAAATTTTCGAAACAAACGTCTTAACAATTTCATTGTTTCAATTACAATCTGTTTTAGCTGTCTTTTTGATTGATTGTACTACAAAAAGCGATGAGCAAATATGCCAAATGACTCCTCGATACGCAAAACCGCTAGGTTTTTGGGTATTGACACTTAACTGCATGCTGCTGGCCAAAGAATTATTTCAAATTTCCCAAGGGTGGATAGGATATAGCCGACAATGGGAAAATTGGTTGCAGTGGATTATTATTATCACTGTCTTTCTTTGCGTGGTAGGCATATGGATGCAAAAATATAATTTTCAAATATATAATATAATATATAGATTCTGTAATCTTTTATTCCTCGCCTTTTAGACACCACAGTACTACATTTTAGGCAAATGGACATGGCAGCATCATGTTGCGGCGTTAGCAATACTTTTCACCTGGTTAGAACTAATGATGTTAGTCGGAAGATTTCCAATATTCGGACTATATGTTCAAATGTTTACTACCGGTAAAAGACTAAAAGATAGAAAATTCAAACAAATTTTTGATTGATTTGAAAAATAATTTATTATAAATATTTAATATATTTTTTATTTCAGTGGCAGTAAATTTTTCGAAGTTTTTGATGGCCTATTGCTTTTTAATTGTAGCTTTTGCACTGAGCTTTGGCGTGCTTTTTGCTGAAGTACCATCATTTAGCACAATTCCCTTGGCTTTACTTAAGGTAACACGATGACCAAAAATTAAAAACGCTTAATAATGAGATATCATAATGCTATATGTTGCATTTTGTTTAAATAAAAAATATTTACTAATTGTTCAGAACTATCTTTTTTTTTCATTTTATTATGATAGGCTGTTGTGATGATGTCCGGGGAATTAGAATTTGATGACATATTTCATGCTGAAGAATATCCTGTAAGATATCCTATAACTGCACATATCATATTTTGTGCATTTATTGTGCTAGTCACTGTTATTCTTACCAATTTACTGGTTGGTCTCGCTGTGAGTGATATTCAGGTAAGAATACCATGAGAAATATGACTGATTTATAAAAAAAATATTTTTCTGGAATATCAATATTTAGTACAATTTTAATTGAAGCAAACTTTTAGCTAATATTTTCCTATTTAGGGTTTGCAGCAAAGCGCAGGGTTAGACAGATTATCGCGCCAAGCAGAATTGGTAGGACGACTTGAGAGCATACTGTTTTCAAAGTTATTGAGAAGATTGCCCACAAGAATTGTTCTCATATGCCATAGGAGTGCTATGTTACTCACATCTACTGGGCAATGGGCACTTTATATTAGACCAAATGACCCACGGGAAATGAGAGTAAGTTTACCATACTAATTTACCATATAAAAACCCAAAGTAAATGCAGTTTAAATTTAAGTTGATACAAACTTAAACATCATTTTAAAATTTGAAAAATTATGAGAAATAATGAAAAAAACATAACATTATAATAAAACTAGAATAATGATTAAAATATTATTTTTCATTGTTTATTCACGTTTTAGATAAAAATATTATAAAAATATAAAATAATCAAAATTGAATTTCTAATTTATTTAATTAAAGATTCCTAGAGAACTCATCACATCTATATACCAGTTAATAGTAGAACGAAAAGATCTACAACAAAATAAACGCAAGAGGGCCACCATATCTAAACCGCCTGAAAATTGTATTGGCTTCAAAAAACACAGTTATACAAATATTTCAAAGCCTGACAGCTATTCAAGTCTTGTTACTCAAACTATAAAATCAGTTCCTCAAGTTTACAATACAAATAAAGTTAGCAATCATCAGAGGGGATATAGAATGCGTACCTACTCTGAAATACCTTCTAAAGATCATAATGGAAGGGAACTTGCCTTAATAAATGAAAATATTAGAGAAATGAAATTACATCTTACTGATTTATGCCAAAGAATTGATAATTTAAATCAAACAATAGCAGAAAATGCGAACAATATAAGAACAGATAGGAATGGCAAAGTTTATGCAAATTAGAACAAATCAAATGTTGTACAAAATATTTGTAATACAAAAATATTTGAAATAAGATAAAAGTATGTGAAGACTGTAGAGTTAAATATTTTTATACGAGAAATGCAATAAATTTAAGCAATTAACTATAATGTATGTAATCTTATGTATAATTTATTATGTAATTTATATATATATATATATATATATATATATATATATATGATTCAAATTTAAGGTATATATTAAACTGACTTACCAAAAGATTACAAGTGAATTTCTCTCCAGTTTCCAATTCAACTTCATTTTTAGTATTCTCTTTTGCCAATTTTAGATTTTTTACTTTTGCTTTATTTAAAATTGTTATGTTGGTTTTTGGAGTTTCTTCAAAAGAAGAGTACAAAGCATGTAATATTTCATCATTTTCAATTATGAATGCTATGTCGTTATGCATATTATCATTAAAATTGATGGATGCATCAGAACATGCATCCCAAACCTAATAAAATTTCAAAATCATATATGATAAACATTAAATATAAATTATTTTTGATGCAAAATAGACCTGCATATCATTTACTGCTTTCTTTCTTCTAATTTTATCCCACACATTGATATCTTTGAACAATTGAGAAGATCCTTTGTTAATAGCCGATACTCTGTTTGAGTAGTTAGAAAGTTCCTTTTTAGCATATTTTGGACCACCTTCAAGCAGTAAAATTTGCTTATTCGAAAGCCTTGCATCATTTGCTAGAAATCAAAATATTATCAATAAAATATCTAAACTAAAATCAAATACTTTGAGCCAATATCATGCATTATTTACAAGTAGTGTGAGAAAATAAAGTGAAAAAAATGCATATAAAAATATAATTCAAATTATTTATAAATGAATAAAAAATAAGTAATGAAGTATCAGTTATTATGAGAAAAAATATAAATCAAAACGAAAATATATTTTTTTATTTTGACACACAAAACAAACCATATTCTAATAATAAATAAAACTCATTTAATTATGTAATGACATTACGTATTCTTTGCAGCAAACATAAGAGTTTATATTTCACCTAATATAATCGAAATATTTTTACATTATTAAGTTGTAATTAAATAATAAACCAACAATAATTTTTAGGTAACCTATAATTACCCAGTGCTAAAAGGAATGCTGTGCCAACCATTCCTCCTCCTGCTATTATTATGTCATATTGATTTTTAGTTTCGGCTGTACTGTATTTATGAAATCCATTTTCAATAAAGTATGACACAGGTTGAATAAAGTTTCTATTATATTTTAAAATGGTATTATATTTTGAAATAGCACCAGCCATTTTTGCGCTATTTGACTACTAGTTTGACAGATGTATACGATGCTGACATCTTCAGCATCATTACATTTGCGTGAGGTTGACAACACTGCTACATAACACCAATTGGAAACGATTATGTTGGTTGTGTCAGAAACTTCCTCTCAACATAAAATTCTAAAAACGTTAATTAAACGAAAGTGTAATAACTAAATATTGTATAGTTTTTAGTAATGTGAAGAAATATAGAATCAATCGATATATTATTCTATATATATGAAGAAGAAGAAGTTCTGAAAGTGACAGTAATATTTATAAAATGCACAAGTGTAAAACATGGACGAAGGCATTATTTATGTTTATTTATCTATGGACGAAGCTTTCATGAAGGTATGTAAATTGAACAATATAAAATGATGCATATTATTTCATACTTATTTGCCTCAGTTGATATCTGAAAAATAATACTTATTATTAAAAATTATTTATTATTAAATAAATAGCTTGTACTTCAATTTTATATTTTATTATTACATTTCATTTTATATGTTTATTATTTTATATTATATTAAATCAGACTTGAAATTTGCTGTGACGTGTATTTTAAAACCAATCAAAAAGCGGCTTGGCCCACTCATTAAGGGTCCTCAGCCAGCCTTGTGGTCTGCGTTGTCCTTGATTCCTATTAGGCGGTCCAACTGCAGTATGCACTCCCCCAACGCTATATCTATTTCCAGCATATTTGTCGTTAACTGTAATTTCTGGATAATCAACCTCACCGGTATTCTCTGTGACTGGTTTAGGGAGGAAATCCTGAAAAGTTCCAATAGCTGATTGACCTATATTTTGAAAAACATCAGCAACCGCTTGTCCAGCGCCTTGCAAACCGCCGATAGCGTTCTGACCAGCGTCTTGTAGAGCGTCGACCGCGGTTTGCGAGACGCTCTGCAAGGCGCCTACAGAAGACTGACCGACGTCTTGCAGAGCGCTGACTGCGGACTCCTGAATTGGAGCGAATACCGTTTGTGGGCCAGTGTTGAAGACGTTCATGAATAGATTTTCAAACCATCCTGGGCGGTTGGTGACCGGCTCATCGGCGTCTACAACTTCAGGTTCGAAGTTATTATAGTCATAGTCCGAGCTTCCGTGGTTGTTGTTATCTCCATTTCCGTTTCCTCCATGACTTCCTTGACCACCGCTACCATGACTTCCCCCTCCATGATGGTTTCCGCCACCGTGGTGGTTTCCTCCTCCATGTATTCCACCCCCATGATTATTACCACCATGACCGCCTCCATATTGACCTCCTCCACCGCAATTGTAAATATAGTTGTGATTGACTGTTACATCAGCAAATAGAAATTTGTGATCAAAATGTCCAAATGTTCGTCCACTGGGCGCTTCCCGCCCTCTATTCCTTGAATTTTGAAAATGGGTTAGTAAGGCTTATTTCTATTCATTATTTTGTTCTTTTGAAATTCTTATTGAATTATTATTCTATTACAAAATGTCATTATAATAAGACCATTGATCAAGTTGTTGACAATGTTATGTAAAGCATAAAAGAAGTTTGATCAATTGTGCAAATTGTTTTTTGTAATGATTTATTTTTGTGGCTTATTTGCTCAAATTATTTATTATCTCGATAGATACATTAATTTTGTAATTATTATAAATAGATTCGTATTACTAATGATAAAAACGCAATATTTTAAGTATTCTCTAACATAGAGCAATAACTTTAACCGTTGACTATAATGAAAATAATTATCAAAACAATTTATTTTAATAACATTATCTCATAATTAAATCAATTACCTGCAAGGTCTCGGTCTTCTTCGGCGGTTACTATTATCCCGTTGGGCCACTGGGTTCGCTTGTAGGAAATGCACAAATACCAACAGCAGGCATATGAAAAAAATCTATAAAAAACAAACTGCCAAATTATGTTTAAATAATATTATTAACTTAATAAATATAATTCACTATTTTAAACACTTCACTTCACCAAATTAACCCTCGCGCTTACCGAAGCATGCATTTCAATTAAATTAGACCCGACTTCCTTACTTCTTCAAGATTTTTGATGTTATGAATGTCTCCAGACTATTTCACTCACCTTTAGTATTACATATCTTCAAGATGGGTGAAAAGTGAGAGTTTTGCGCAGATTTTTTACGTAACATTGCAAATCCACCTCGTCCTACGCAAAATTTGCGAACATATCTACTTGTGTCTACTGTCCAAAAAAGGTTAGATAAAAGTAGGTAACTTTTACTGGTTTTAAAAACTATTTCTTTAGCACCACTTAAGTGGAACAACAGATAATAATTAGTATTGAATAAAAATGAGTTTTCCGATTATATAGCAGGTATAATCCAATATTTCTGAAATATCTCCTTTCAATATAAGTGAATTCTCATTTTACATGTTGTTTATATCTCTTAACATTAAAAAGTTAAATATATTCTTCATATCAGCGATGATTTTAAATAAGCAAATAGGATAAGTAACTATTAAAAGGCATCAAATTTCAAGGAACTTTAATATACGAGTTCTTAGTTTTTTTACACTCCACATTTACTTGTAATTTCTTCGTAGAATATCAATATACTGGAGTTAGATTCTAATTTCAATAATAAATAAAAAGTAACTATTTTTTTAATAATTCATTTATTCTAAAAGTTACTTTGGGTTCAATCACCCGATAACATAATACTTTATTGCAAATTCTATATTTGACAGAATGAGTGGGATGTTGTTGCACAAGTGGGTCACAAAATACACAAATTTGGCGAATGTGCGTAATCAAAAAATATACAAGTAATATATTCCATTTTACTAACTTCCCGTAGGGTAAGTTATTGTAATGGGCCGAAAATCGGAATTGAAAATTTTTACATTTCTCGACGTTTTGAAGGTTTCTGAACGTTTTGGCATACCTCAGAAAAAATGGATGTGTGTGTGTGTGTGTGTGTGTGTGTGTGTGTGTGTGTGTGTGTATGTATGTGTGGATACAAATTTCCAGTCACGTTTTAGGGCGCACGGATCAACCGATTTGAATGGTTCAAAAAACATTCGATTCCTATTGATTGGGAAAAGAGCTGATTAGTTTTTGGCAAAGGCAGGTCCAGCCGTTTCGGAGATACGGAGCAAAGAGTGCAAAAAATAGAAATCAAATTTTTGAGCGAACGGAGTATCCGATTTGAATGATCTAAAAAACATTCAATTAGTAATGATTGGGAGAAGTGTTTATTAGTTTTTGGCAAAGGCAGGCCCAGCCATTTCGAAGATACGGAGCTAAATATGTAAAAAATGGCAGTTTTTGAGAGAACTAAGCGTCCGATTTAAATGATTCAAAGAACTTTCTGCTTGTCTTAACAAAATAATTGATTTTGGAAAAAAAAATTTTGTTCAATTTTTTTTTTTTTTTTTTTTTTTTTTTTTTTTTTTTAGTATTTTGTATATCGAAAATATTTCAGATTTTATTTTTAATTCTGACTATAGTTCTACTATACTTTAGAAATAATTTCAACTCTGCAATTCGGTTTATATAATTCTTATAAATATTAGACAATGTTACTATATTTATAATAATCTATTTGAAAACATTCAATATTCCTCGAACATTTCGTTACGGTGCGGGAAGTTCCAGCAATTTGCCTCAAGGCACGATGCCATAATTGCCTCAAGACAGAATTCCACTTACAGCTAGTTTATTTATTGATTTAATTAATTATCGTCAATTGGTTATTTTTTTCAATTCAAAAGATTAACATTGTTAAAAATTTATTGCTAGGGGGGGGGGGGATTAAATAGACTTTATAAATAATATATAGAGAGATAGAGATAAGATATATATATATATAGAGAGAGATAGATATAGAATAGATAAAAGATATATATATAGTATATATAATATATATATATATATATATATATATATATATATTATATATATATAAATATATAATATATATATATTATATATATATATAACATATATAATGTTAATAAAATGCAATTTTACTTTTATATATTTCAAAACTATATTTTGACAAAGGTTAGTAACATCCAAATAAAAATCTCCAATGATATACTTTTCAAATAACTAATTTAACACTATAATTCTAAAGTTATGTTAGTTTTTCATTTGCTGATTGCATTTTTCCACAGAGTAAAAGTAGCGCTGTTAGCTAAAGATTGGCTATATGAAACAGCTTTATTGGAAATTCATTGACTAATTGTTGAAAAAATATTTGTTTATAGTCAAAATAGATAGACAAAATTTAATAATAAAATTGAATTATTATTTGTAACAAACATTTACATTATCTTATGAGTCAGATTATTCGTTTAATATTATTTAATGAAATTCTATGAAAGTGAGTCATTTTGAAAGCGAATCTGTACATTATATATAATGTATCTCTGCTAGCCTCGGTAATGAGACAAATATACGTTTATTTGTAATATATTATATTAAATCTAACATGTATATATATATATATATATATACAAATAGAAAATTTATTTTATTAAACATATAATAAATGTGAACAAAATGCAAATTATAACTAGTACTAACGCAAAAGAAATTCGAAAAAAATTATGTTTTATAGAAGAAATATTTACAAGAAAACATTTTTACAACTATTTGGCAATAGTAATTTTTTGTTGTGGTCTGGAACACCTGATATAGAAAATATTTTATTACATTATCCAACGTACTGTTATCTGAATTGGTGTAACAATACTCAGCTAACATTGGCTACGAAAATAGACATTTATCAGAAATACATTTAATCGACACTTTGATTCAATATTTATGTTTCAAGAAAGTAACTTCAACGAGTTCTAAGTAATATCTGAAACTCAGCTCTTATTGATGTAATCGTAAGTATAGCAGTATTTCAATTAAATGCAAAGTGTCGATTTTAAAATAATTAAATAAAGCTTTTTATTTCAATTTTTTATTTGAATTTGATAACTTTAAAACTGACTGAAAATATTGAAATTAGTTT